CACTTTGTATTAACTAAAAAAATCATTTAAATTTTTAATGATTCAGAGATATCATTTATTTTTTTTCAAGAAATAAAAGAATGAAATCAAGCAAGCATTCATTGGCCGAATCATGACAAGTTTCTCCTCATCTCTTCTTTTTCATACATAATTTTTTCTAATAAACTAACGATCATCAAATAATCCAATATATTTTACAAGAGAAAGAAATATACCCAATTCGATTAATAAATCAAGGGGTAAAGTGTATTTGTAATCCTAAACTTTTTATTTAAGTTCTATTTTAATTATTAATTTTTAAATTGTTTTATGATAATCTTAAATTTTTTAAAATGGTGTCAATATAACTCTTTAATCAAATTTAATATAAAAATAAAAGAATTACAACTTAAGACAATAGATTCAAAATTATTATTTTTTACCATCATCCTAAAATATATTTATTAACAAATAAATAAAACTTTTAAAATTTTTAAAAATGAAATAGAATTATCATTTTTGCCTCTAATTTTCAAAATGGCAAACAATTTAAAAAAGTCTTTAAACTAAAATTCAATAATCATATAAGTAGTTATCTTTGTTTACAATCAATTAAACCTTAAACATCTATTTTTACCGATTAGGCCCTTATCAAAGAAAATTTGGTTAACCGTTTTGGTCCAATTGAATGCTTAATTAGGTGAAAATATATGTTTAAGAGTTCAATTAAATAAAAATAGATGTTCAATAATTCAACTGATATGAAATTAAAGATTCGAGGCTTAATTAATTGCAATAAAACGTTAGGAAATTAAATGATTATTGAATTTTTGTTAACAAAAGATTTAGAGCTTAATTATTTACTATAAAATGTCAAAAAATTAAATGATTATTAAATTTTTATTTGAGTGCTTTTTTGGCCCTTTTATCTTTCAAAATTCAACTTAAAATTAGGGAAAATGGTACTTTAGTTTTCGTCTTAATAATTTAAATAATTTTATTTTTTTTCTAATAAATATATTTTAGTATGATTGCAAAAGTAATAATTTTGATCCCATTATGATTTTTTTTATTTATTTTTATTTTATCCAAATTTAATTTCCTTGTATTTATAAATTTTGATTAAATAATATAAAATTAAATCCTACTACGAATAAAGCTAGCATTAAAAAAAAGAAAAGAAACAGAGATGAAACATATCCAACTAATGTTTTAACACTTAATTAAATAGAAATTAATAGTTAATAATTTTAAAAAATATTTTTTATAAATTATTAGTAGTATAATTTGAAACTTTTTAAAATATGCCAACCTAATACAACAAACTAATTTACTATTATATTCTCTTGAGAAAATATTTTATTAGAAATCATTCATTTAAGATTTCTTAGCAAATGAGCATAATTCCCTTACTGTTTAAGTTTAAAATTATAATTAGAATGTAAATATTATTAATTAAATCCTTAAGTATATATAAGCTTTTTATATTTTTTTGAGAAAATAAATATCAACCAACGGAAAGTCAAAATTATTTAGTTATGTTTCATTTTTTTTCCTTTTTGTTAAAAATAAATATGACTTTTAAATCTTTTTAAGAATGAAATTGAATTATCATTTTTGCCCCTGGTTTTCAAAATAGCAAAAAGATAAAAAAAAAACCCCGAAACTAAAATTCAAGTCATTTAAACTCTTATAATTTTTTGTTCAATTAATTAGACTCTTAAACATTTATTTTCATCGATTAAGCCTTTGTAAGAGGAAAAATGGGCAACTGTTTTGGTGCAATGAAATGTTTAATTAAATAAAAATATATGTTTAAGAGTTCAATTTGATGAAAATAAATATTTAAGAATTTAACTTATTTGAAATAGAAGATTCAGGATTTAATTAATGGCAATAAAATATCAAGATTCTAAATAGTTATTGAATTTTTTTTAGAACTTTTTTTACTCTTATGCCTTTCAAAATTCAACTTAAAATAAAGAAAAATGGTACTTTAGTTTTTGTCTTAATAATTTTATTTTTTTATAAATATATTTTAGTATAATAGCAAAAAGTAATAATTTTGGGCCCGCCATGATTTTATATCCTTTATTTATTTTTATTTTATTTTTCCTATATTTATAAATTTTGATAAAAGAATACAAAATTAAATCATACTACGAATAAAGCTAGAATTAAAAAAAAAAAAAGAAAAAGAAATGAAGAAAGAAATGAAACATACCCAAATAATATTTTAACACTTAATTATACAAAAGTAAATAACAATTAATAATTTTAAAAAGTTCTTTTTGTAGATTATTACTAGTATAATTTGAAACTCTTGAAAATTATACCAACCTAACATAATAAACTTATTTACTACTATAATCTCTTGAAAAAATATTTTATTAAAAGAAATTCATTTAAGATCACTTGAAAAATGAACATAAATTTCTTACTGTTTAAGTTTAAAATTATAGTTAGAATGTAAATATTATTAATTAAGTCATTTAGTATACACAAGCTTTTTATATATTTTTGAGAAAATAAAGGCCAACAACTCGAAAGTTGAAATTATTTAGGTATGTTTAATTTTTTTCTTTTTTGTTAAAAATAATTTTCAACTTTATTTTTAATAAAATTTAATTTTATATTTTTCTCAAAATTTGAAATATTAGGAAATAAAATTTACTAAAATAAAATAAAAATGAAATAGAATCAGAATAATAAATTTAGAATTATTACTCTTTACTCTCATAACAAAATATATTTGTTAAACAAATAAAAATTTTATATTTATTACGAAAGAAAATAAGTAACCATTTTTGCCTTTGATTTTAAGTTTAATTTTTAAAATCAAGAAAAAAATGATACTTTTGTTCCCTTCTAAAAAATTTTATAAATTTTATTTTTTTACCAATAAATATATTTAAATTATTGTGGTATGTTTTGCTTCTTTCTTTTTGTTAAAATAATTTATAACTTTATTTTTAATAAGATTTAATTTAACATTTTTATTAAAATTGTAATTTTTGGGGAAATAATATTTAATAAAATAAAATGCAAAAATAAAATAAAATCAGGATAATAAACCCAAAATTATTAATTGTTCCAATCATGCTAAAATTTATTTATTAAAAAAAAAATTATAATAATTGTGAAAGAAACTAAAGCGTGATTTTATCCTTAATTTTAAGCTAACTTTTAAAATTAAAGCAAATTTATACTTTTATTTTCTTTAAAAAATTTTATTTCTTTTCTAATAAATACATTTTAGTATGATTGTAAAAAGTAATAATTATAAATATATTCAATAATATTCGCATCCTTTTAAATATGTTTAAGGCTATCTTGAAATAATTTAAAGATTAAAGATCAAAATAAAACTCAACTGAAAGGTTTGAGTAGAGGTGTTCATGAGTCGGATTGGGTCGGGTTAGGTTTAGACTTGGTTCATATTCTATATTAATAGCTTATATGTTTATTTAGGCCCTACTCAACCCAAAATTTTGGGTTTCAAAATTTTTTTAAGCCCAATCTAAAATAAAAAAATAAATTTCAAACCTACTCATTAAATTTTATTTATATAATAAAAAATTAAAAAATGATTAAATTAAATTTAATGAGATTATTTTCAATTCACATATATATAAATTAAAAATAAAAATTATATATATATAAATTAAAAATAAAAATTACATGAAAATAAAATTAAGTTTAATAATATATATAATTCTTTTTAATTTTACATAAAAATAAAAATTAAGTTTAATAATATATATAATTTTTATTTTTAATTGTTATATATGTGAATTAATTTATGTAGAATTTACATATACATATAAAAATAAAAAAATTATATATATATATATGAATTCAGGCCATGTTTGAGTTTTAAATTTTTTATCCAAAGTTCGACCTAAAATTTAAATAAATTTAAAAATTATACTCAAGTCCATTTAACGAATTTTAAATTTTTTGTCAAAACTCTTTTAAAACTTGAGCTAACCTTCGAAGTTGGACAGGAACTTTTGAACAAGTTTAAGTTTGAGATTATAAATGTACTTTACCCATAAATCAAAATTTGATTTTTATTAAAAAAAAAATGAGAAGATTGATATGAGAGATTATACCATTAATAACTTAAAAATAATAATTTAATTTAAATATTTTTTAAAAAATAATTTAATTCAAATAAAATTTGAAAAATAAAAATACCTTTAATCGTATTTAAAATATAAGAAATTATTAAATATACTAATAATAAAATTTTTAGACTCCACAAATGAAGTTTAGGAGGTAACAAATATCACTTACAATATATTTAAAAAATTAAAAAAATTAATTAAAAAATAAACAAGATGTGTGTTAGTTTTTTAATATCATTTTTAGTATTGCTTGTAAAATTAAAAATTTACACTGATAATTTATTAAATATTAACTCTTAAAATATATAAACATATAATAAGTTCAAGTTTTCTAGGAATAAAAACATGTGTTTTTGTTATAATAATTCAAAGTTTTCATTTTCATTGAAAAAAATTATTACATCAGAAAAAAATGTGAAACATATTATTTAAGTTTATTTATATTGAAAATTATTATAAATAATAACATTTTGATATAAGTATGTTTAAATGGATATGTAGTAAGAATAGAAAAGATAAAATATAAAATAAAAGTGATTTTAAAAAAATTAGAGATAATACGAATTAATAAAAATATAAAAGATCATTTGAGATAGTTTGAATATGTAAAATGTAAATTTATCTATATGGTTAATAGAAATAAGCTTTTTGAATTTGAAAGAGATCAAAATTTTTAGAGATTAACAATGAAATATATAGATATAACTAATAAAAAAATAATTTAAAATTAAAAAATAAATAAAAATTATTTTTATAAAAATAAATAACCCAAAAAATTTTTAAATTAAGACCTAATATAATTTTTATTTTTATTTTACTTTTCATACGACCAACTTCAAAATTGAAATATAAAACTTAATTTGATATTATTGTAATAACACCTTAATTAAGTGTTTTAGAACAATAACTCGGAGGGCGGAAAGGCCTCAGAAGGAGACAGAACCGTCACTTTTGAAGAATGCCCTACTGGGGAAGGGTAAACCCTTCTCTCTGTTTATTTGATTTTGTTTTGTCCTATGTGTTCCTCTAAAACAGCATCCACCGAAAAAATCCAAAATTTTGTCAAATGATAAACCTTTTTTGTCCAAAAAAATATTTTAAAAAACACCTAAAAGGTAAAAACGACAATTTCAGTAGGGAAAAAACAGGTTAGAGCTCAGCATTCCCTCTCGTTACTTCTTGTTGCTGTATATACATGTAAATACCTAAATAAACAAATAAAAAGTTTGTTGATAAAATTTGTATGGGAAATTGGTAGGTGGGAAGTGGCGAGCTCAGTGGAGAACGAGAAGGAGAAGGAAATGGAGAGTGGCAAAGAGGACGTTGTTTGCTTTGAACTCCCTGCTCCTTCTGGTTGGAAGAAGAAGGTTATTCTTTGCCTTCTTCTTCTTCTTTAAATTTTAATTGCTTCAATTTATATGGTTTTTTATCATTTGATTTATTCGTGGTTTGGGTCTTTAAATTATGTTTATTAGAGTGTATTGCTCTATATTTCGTGTGGTTTTGACTTTTTATTTGGGGATTTGTGGTAGAATTTGAGAACTAATGATAATTTTTAATTAGGGTTATTTTATTGTGCTTCTGGTATTAATGGTGAATTATGAGTAATTTTTCTATTTTGCGCCCCCCCTTTTTTTTTGCTCTGCTTTTTTGTGAACGTTTCTGGGCTTCCCAATTTATTGGAAGCAAAGTAGTAGCTAGGGTTCTGTAGAAGGACCTTTCTCTGTAATTTCTGGGTTTATGTTTTTAAATAATTTTCAGGGACAAATAAGCAAAGTGGGGCACGCCATATGAAATTCTAGTACTATTAGTTGGAAGATGTAATGCTCATCTGAGAAATTCTATGTCGACTGTTAGCTCTGAAAGAATGTAGAAGGATGTGAGAGGATTACAAATTGTTTTTTGGTCTAATCCAATGGAGGACTTGATATTATTCTGTGGAACGTGTGTACAAACCTTTTTTTGCTCAAGTGCACAATGGTCTCTACATACATGGTTGTTATTTCTTGTGGCTGATATTGTTAGGTTCTCTTATGGCTGTGAATTCTTTTTCTGTTTAAGAGTGTTTCCAATATTATAAGGTGCTGCCAAATGTTGTTGTAGTTATGTTCTTCTTGAACAATTTTTGTAAAAGTACCCTCTAGAATCTATTCCTGATTGGCTGGTCAGTATGGACTATGGAGGCTTCTCCCGTATCATTTTGGATACGCTGACAGGATAACAATTTTGGCACCCTTATGGGATAAAATAGCATCAGAGTGTATAAAAATTCCGCTTCAGTGAATGGGCATACTGACACATTTCTGTTTATTTTGCTTCTCTAGATATTTTATGCTTAACAGTATTTAGGATGAATATGCTTGCCAAAATTATTTCTTAATTTCTCAATCTCATGTGAAACAGTCTTTTCGAGTTGGAAGCTGATGTTCATTGGAAATTAAAAGCATCTCTTCTAGAAATGAGCTTATTTCTTTTTTCCTTTTGCAGATTTTCATGGTTCTACTTTTGAATTGTAATTGGTTTTTATGTTCTTCCATGTGATAAAAGTATTACTCATACTTTAGAAATGGAGTATCAGTTGGATCATTTTATCTCGAGTCATGATAAGTCATCATGGTCTACACTGCCACACCTTGTTGGCTTCTTATGGTAGATGACATGTATATTTATTTTTCTGTTTAAAGATGACATGTATATTTATTTTGTTGTCTATCTTAATCTTTTGGAAATTTAATTATGTTATTACTTGTATAAATTAATGGGGTCTTTTAGCGAGGTGCAGTTAACTTGTTTGACCCAACGTTCCTTTTATTGTGATTCAATACTACTTTTATCAAGTTACAAAACTTGGCAATTACAAACGTTTCAGGGCTTCGCATCTTAAAGACCCTTCAAACAAGTTTAATGAGCTTACCAACTGATGAGGATTTATGTGTTTCTATGCCCCCCAAACCTACGACACCTTTCTAGACTCTAGACTTTTGGAGTTGGCTACACTAGTTTTGTCATGTCATTTTGACTTATCTAGGGTTTTCACTGCTTCTAATCTTTCTCCTTTTCTTTCCTTTTTCTTTTTTAACCTTATTAACTTGTATGGATGCCACAGAGTGGGGATTATGGCTTCAGTTGTGCATCCTGACAAAGATTGGGCAAAATAGAAAATATTAAAGCATATTGTTCGGTCTCACTTCTTGGCTACCATAGGCCATAAGTTAAATGGCAATTTAAATAGCATATTTAAGTTGCCTTCAAGCTAATTAGTTTTTAGTTTGGGGGCAGCCTAAATATTTTGTGTATTCTATGGTTAGTGAAGAAATTATGAATTATGATTTTTGCATGTTTCTTCTATGGATGAGTTGTCTATGTGTTGTTTTAGTTTACATGATGGTTTCTGCTGTGGTAGGAAGTTAGAAATTTTGCTTTGTTTAAGTTCACTAGCAGGTCTATACCCTTCAAATTTACAGCAGTCTAAGCTTGTAAACTGCTTCATCTGTTGGAACTTTAAATTGGATTGACTGTGACATCCCTAAACTCAACATTTGTGTTTGATTTATAGCTTACATTTGCTGTAGGTATTTCTATAGCTTCATATAAGATTTTCTGGTCTTGAATTTCTTGATATTGTTCATATTGTTAAACATTTTTTCCTATCAACATGCCAGTGCAATCTCAGGGTTTCTTTTTGTTTGCAGTTCATGCCAAAGAAAGGGCTGACTCCTAAGAAAAACGAGATCATATTCACTGCTCCGACAGGAGAGGAAATCAGTAACAGGAGACAATTGGAACAGTACCTTAAAGCACACCCTGGTGGTCCGGCGGTATCAGAATTTGATTGGGGCACTGGTGAGACCCCTAGGAGATCAGCAAGGATTAGTGAGAAGGTAAAAGCAATGCCAACACCACCAGAAAGTGAACCTCCAAAAAGACGAGCCAGAAAATCATCAGCTTCAAAGAAGGATAACAAAGAATCAGAGACTGCCCCTGAAGGAACCGAGGATAAAACACAAGATGCTGATAGCAAAACTGAACCCACTTGTCAAGAAGTGAAACATGGAGAAGATGCTAATATATTTACTAATATCGAAGAAGTTAAGGAAAATGCTGAAGCAGTATCTGAAAAGTTGAAGGGCCCCCAGGATGAAGTTGAAGCTAATGCTTCTGGAGTTGCCCAAAAGGAAAAAGAAGGTTTGGAGGGTGACTTGTCTCAGGGAAACGTTGAACAACCAGTGGCTGAAGCGGAGAAAGGGCTTGGGTCTGGGAAGCAGGACAAACCAGACATAGTCATTCCCGAGGAAAGAAAAAATGAGGTGGAAGGAGAAGAAAAAGGGAAACATGATTGAAGCACTACTCTATCTGAAGGCTGTCAAGGAGAAAGAATCAGCAAATTGCAATGAGGGACAAAATACTTTAGGTGTAAATGAAATTAACAAGAAAGCGGAGGAAGCCATTCAGAATGGTAGTAAATAGTAATAGAAGTAACGCGGGTGATGTCAAGCCTTGAGTTACCATATGCAATAGATTAACTTGATGCAGGCTTCTCTCTCCTGCTTGTAACATTTTCAGACTTTTGGACTCCTTCAAATGACTCTAGCTTCGTTAAGGATAGTAACTGATTTTTCATTGGAGGCATATTTTTATTTAACGGTAGATAGCCGTGTATAATGTAGCTGCCTCCGATGTGATGGTCAAACCTATAGCTTGTAGTGATATATGTAATAATGTTATGGCATCTAAGACTGCAAATGGATGTAATATATAAGGCTGAAAAATAATTTTTAGAAAATGATTTTTATATTTTTAAATGTTTGTTTAGCAGAAAATTGGTTAGTTAACAAAAAAATAATTTATTGATTAACAAAAAATAGAATCATTTTTAAAAAAAATTATCTTATGGATTTGAAAAGGAGAAAATATTTTTGGAAAAAGAATTGTTTATAAGTAGAATTATTTATCAATATTTTTTAATATAATTTGACTTATAAATTATATTATATTAATAAATAAATAAATAAAATTAATAAATAACATATTAATCAATAATATGAAGAATAATAAATAGTTTTATTTTAAGTATTTTTTATATTAATATAATATTTTAATATTAAATATAATTATTAAAATATAATTATATTTTAATATTAATAATAAATAATTTAATATATTTTAATAATAAATAATTTTAAATATTATAATAATTATATTAATATTATTTTAAAAAATCAAAATTTTCAAAAAATAATCAAATAAATAAAAATATTTTTCATTACTTTATCCAAACGATAAAAGATTTCTTTCAAATCAAAAAATATAAATATTTTTTAAAAATTATTTTTCGCTAAACAAATAGAGACTAATATTCTATGGCAACAACTTAAGATACCCATATTCATAATGGGTATTTTCTGGGATGTGTTTTTCTCTTTGTTTACCGTGGGGAAGTTGGGGAATGGTCCAACGATGAAATTCCCAACAATCATAAGGGACCAAGAAAAATTGAAATGTAAGTGCGCCATTAACCGTTACAGCCTTCCGAAGGCAACTCTCTGGCATGCAAAGGCGAGCAAAATGTAGAAAAAACATCTTCATTTCTATCTTGTCTGACAGATCACACACAGCATTTACCATCTAGTCTTTAACCCTGGTAGGGTAAGCCACTGCCCACATAAACTAGTTACAATTGTTAGCAGTTCGAACGGATAATTCAGATTTTGTTAGTTTATTGAATAAAATTGCAGATTCCACTCTTGCAGATTTTCAAACAAACTGGTTAGTATACTAATTGTCGTAACGGTTTTGAAATTATCCGACAAATTTGAAAACGAAAATGAAAAAATTAAAATTAAAATCATCATCAATCTTTTTTGATTAGTGCGATTAATCACTTATTAAAATTTATCTTTTTAATAAGATTTTAAAATTAATTAAAATTTATTAAAAAAATAATTTTATGGTTTAAAACAGTTTCTAAGTTCGAGAGTCGATTATGTGTAGAGAAGATTAGCACCTCCACAACGCCCGTTTAAAAATGGTACCACTTAACTAACGTGTTATCCTATGATTTTAATAAAAACAGTCTTATTTTAAGTGTTTGAAAAATAATTTCTTTGATTTTTTTATTTATTAAAATTTTTTTAAAAAAAGTTTATTATTCAAATTTTATTCGAGAAAAATAAATTAAATCTTTTATTGAAATAATTCTTAAAAATATTTCAATACGTTGATAACATTGAAAGACTCTTTCACACTTAGAAGATTTCTTAAGCATCGCTTATTGGAATACCTTAGAATCTCATCATCGGAGGCTCGAATTTACTTTTCGTAAAAAATTTTTGCCGTGCATGCGATGCAAATGATAATACATTAACGCACACATTTTATTTTTATTATTTTGAAATTTTATTAATTATTATTTTTATTTAAAAAATGAAAAAAAAAAGATTAATTTTTATTATATTAAAGATTTTCTATAAATATTTCAATACATTGGTAATATTTAAAAAAATCTTCTCACCTAGAGATTTCTTAAAGCATCTCTACCGGAATACTTTTAGAATCTCATTATCAGATAAAATTTCATTTTTTTTAATTTTTATTACTTATTCTTAATTTATTAATTAACTTATTATTTTATAACCAAAAAAAATTATTGTATTGAATACTTTTTATAAATACTCTAATATACTGATAGTATTTAAAAAAAATCTTCTCACCTAGAGATTTTGTAGGTATCATTACTCGGAGTACCTTTGAATCTTATCATCAGATAAAAATTTTCTTTTCTTATATTTTTTTATTAATTTTGTATTATTATTAGGTTTATTTTTAAAAATAACATAATTATAAAAATTTTAACAATATTATAAAACAATAAAAATTTATTATAATAATTTTAAACATTTTAACATGCATAAATATTAATAATAAAATTTAAAGTAACAAAAATAATATTTAAAAAATTTAAAAAAATAATTTTTTTACTTAAACCAGATCGATCAACAGTTTGGTCAACTCAGGTTTCAGTCGTTCTAGTCACGTTCAGCGGTTTGGGATCGATCTAGCTCGGGTTCAGCGGTTCGGGTTCGGTCTGGATCAGGTTCAACGATTTGGTTCCTGCTCAGTTGGACTGGCCAGGCCTGGGGCTAAGAGGAGTCAGGTCGATGGGTCGGTTTGCGCGGATCCTAGGTAGGATCCGGGTCCATGCCCAGATCCTCTCCTTCAGCAAAATGATGTCGTTTCAGCCCTTTCCTTAAATGACATCATTTTAAATCTCAGCCTTCTATAAAAGCTAAAAATTTTTTTCTTCTTTCATTTTTTTCTCCCTCTCTCTACACTCTCAGACCCCCTCTCTCTAGAGCGGTCGATCGGTCACCATTCGTCGCTCCGGTCGATCATTGAAAATACCCAAAAAAATCAAAACGTTCCCCTCAACCCCTTCTCACAGGATCCGACATTTTTTTCATCGAAAACAACCCCGATCGACGTAGATCAGGGTTTAAAGTTTCGGTCTCTTTTTTTTTTGACTAAAACTAACTATTTTACTTTTTTTGTTTTTGTAGGTTTTGCATGGCGTTGGGTTCCTCGCTGATTCAGCGAGGACTATGATTTTTGTTTGAATGGTTTTTTTTTGCAGGAATTTTTTTTTTATTCTGGAACTTCTTTTTTTTTTTGGCAGGATCCCCTTCCCTTCCTCTCTGTCTTTTTTGGGGTCATCAAGAGCTTTATTTATAGAGCTCCCGTCGTGGCCTTGTGCCTGGGCAGGTGGCACAGGGTTTGGCAGAATGGGGGGTGCCATGTACGGCACCCTTAGCACCAACCTCTCTGCCCCTTCTTGTTTCTTTTGTTTTATCTGGCTTTGGCCCTGTGCCTGGATAGGTGGCACAGGGCCTAGCAGGAGGTGGGTGCCGTGCATGGCACCAGGCACCGCTTTGTTTTTCCTTTTCTTGTATTTTTTGTTTGTCTTTTTTTTTTGTTCTTTTTTTGTATTATTATTGTATTTAATAATAATATTATCTTATTAGCAAATTTGATCAAGGTCGGATAAATTTGATATCTACAGCTACCCCTCTTTACATATTGCTGAGAATCAAGAATAATGCAAAGACAAAGACATTAATTTTGTTCAGGAAAGTTTTTTTTTTTATACTTAAACTAATCAGAAATCTTTTCTTATCAAATCGAAATGCTCATCTTACTCAAGGCTCAACAACTTTTGAAAATTTAAAATCTGAAAAAAGTTCATCTCAGCAGAAGCTCAACAATTTAAAAAATTTTCATCTAGAAAAGAGCTCCTCTCAGCAGAGGCTCAACAACTTTAAAATCTTATCTTGAAAAAAGCTTCTATCAGCAAAGGCTCAATAACTTTAAATTATCATCTTGAACAAAGCTTCTCTCAGCAAAGGCTTAACAACTTTAAATTAAATCATTAAAAAAATAACTTCGAATATCACCATCGAAGGATAAATAATCTTGGATATCACCACCGAGAAGATGCAATGACTTCGGATATTGCCATCGAAGGAAACTCGAATATCACCATCGAGAAAATGTAATTCAAGCTTTAATACTCAGACATCACCATCGAGAGAATGCAAATGCAAATTCAAACTTTAAACTTGGTTATCACCACCGAGAATATGCAAATATCTTCAGATATTGTCACTGAAGGGAACTCGAATATCACCATCGAAAAAATGTAATTCAAGCTTTAATACTCGGATATCACCATCGAGAGAATGCAAATGTAAATTCAAACTTTAAACTCGGATATCACCACCGAGAAGATGCAAATATATTCAAATATCGTCACCAAAGGGAACTCGAATATCACCATCTAGAAAATGTAATTCAAACTTTAATCTCAGATATCACCACTGAGTATGTTTTTGCCCCTCTTTTTTTTCTTCATTAATGCTTCCAAAATTGGTGAACACCATTATGATGCAAATGTCTTCTCTTAAAATAAGGATGCAAATACAAATATCTTTTCCTAAAATGATGCACATGAAATACAAATGTCTTTTTTTAAAATGATGCACATGAAATGCAAATATCTTTTCAAAAAAAATACCAATACACATATGCTTTATCAATCAATGACACAAATGCAATATCAAAAGGTTCAAATGCTCAATTTTTTTTTTTTAAAAAAAGGTCAAGATATGCTACTACCCAAAATCTTCTTTTCTTCAAAGTTCTCTTTCATTCAATCCTGAATCTTTCATCTCAATTCCAAATCCGTTCTTTACTGCTCATTTTTCATCAATTTTGCTTTCTTTCTTCACAATTTGGATTTCTCGACTTTTCTTTCCATTTTTTCATCTTCAAATCAAACATGCATATGACCAATTCAAACTTGATAAAAGGGAATTACAGAAAATGAGCTATCAAACGGTGGTAAAACTCAACTGATTAAACATACTTTTGTATTCCCATACTGCCCTTTATTTTTCTCAAAATATTTTCAAAATTTTATTTTTCCTCTCTAAAAACATTTTATTTTAATGACAAAATTCTAAAAAAAAAAAAAAAAAACTTACCTTAGTCAACCTCTATGAAACAATGTGACTCTTAAATCTCTAAAAAAAAGGTTATCATTATTATACACATGGCAATTCTATCTTTTCAAAAGGCTGGGATGATCAATTGTCAAACTAAGGTCTGCATAAAAAAATTGAATTTTTATCTAGGCTCAACAACAATTTTTTTGGGAGATTCTGTTGTGGTTAAATCAGATTTGACACCCTTTTCAGTATCAAAATAAGATATTTTAATAGATGTCAAGA